TCATAGGATGATTGACACGTTGATAGTTTAAATAAAAATATAATTATGATTCTAAAAATTGGAAAAATAAAAAAAGAAAAAGAAAAAAGAAAACCCTAGCATAACCCGTAACCCATCTTACCCTAATTATAATCAGCGTGATATATTAAGAGTTAAGGTTTAAGAGTGTCACATGTCAAAAAATTAGTGGAATCCGATTTATATTAAATAACGGCTGATCCGTTCAGAATTTAATCTCATTAGATATATGTTGTTTTAATTAAAATTTATAGCGTAAATTACAACAACCCTTGAGGTGTGGTCAAATTACAAAAACCCCACTATTGTTTGGATAATTATTACATCTACCCTTCAACTATGAATATTCTTACATCTCCACTCTTATGGTGTCAAATTCAACATAATCATCTAGATTTCGTAGAATGTGCTCTAGTTTGTACTCGTTTTGTGTAAAAATACAGTTAGTGATGCATCACAGTCTGTTATATACAAGCCAAAAAACACATGTTATGATCATCTTGCTTCAAAATGTGGGGTTCGAATGAGATAAAACGGGTACAAAAGTGATAATATTTCGAGAAGATTTATAATTAGAGGGTGATTGTAATTACCCAACATTTAGAGTTTTTTCATAATTTGACCATAGCTCAAGGGGTGATTGTAATTTACCCATTTATGAATAGTGAAAAGAGTAAAATAAAAATGGACGTGACATAGAAAGTCTGTTGGTAATCTGACTAGCAATGGTAAGTGGCACGAGCCATCTAATCTAGAGGCACGTGACTACACACACACATATATATATGTGTATGTAATGTATGCATAGGCCCCATCTCCAAAATTAAATTTCATGTGTCAGTCCCTGGTACACATAGAATTGACATCAACGGTACGTATTTTTCTATTACAAATACTGTATGTACGTAGTTTACTCATTAAATCATCAAATACTATTATATATATATATATATATACACACTACTATTTATTACTAGAAAGGAAGAAAGAAAAAAGTAATAATAATAATAATAAAAATGGGAAGAAAAGCTTGTTGCGACAAAAGTGAAACCTTAAAAAGAGGAAAATGGGAAGTTGAAGAAGATGAAAAGCTCATCAATTACATAAATGCCAATGGTGAAGGCTCTTGGAGATCTCTTCCCACAAACGCAGGTATATACATATATATATATATATATATGTACCTATATATATTGAAAAATAATATTTAATTTCTTTTTTGAAATTAAATATATAAAAAATTAAGGTTTGAAGAGATGCGGAAAGAGTTGCAGATTGAGGTGGATAAACTACCTTAAATCAGGTCTCAAGAGAGGAAGCTTCACTCCACATGAAGATGAAACCATTGTCAAGTTTCACAATACCTTTGGAAATAAGTGAGTAGCTTTACTTAATTATTTATTATTTATATTACAATATTTAAGAAATTTGAGGGGAAAAAAAATCATTTTTTATATAGAGAGAGACGATATTTTGTGGTAGTTATAAATATCTATGTTATGTTCGAACTGCATTAAACTCGAAAACTTGTGGTGGCATGCATATTATATGCATTAATTAATTCTTCGATATCGATCGCCAAATTAATGCTTAATATTATTATTGACTAATATTAATAGTAATATTAATAGGGTTTTTTTGTTTAAAGCTTATTCTCTAAAATTATTGACTTGTTACGGCGTTGACTGAGTAAATAACACGAGAGGAGGTGTAAACTGCACCGACAATAATGCACATGTGTGACGAGTTCGATTATGGATCTAGAAAGTGGTAACATAATTAAGACAGATCTAATAACTTCACCCCAACTATAGCTAGGCCACCTCTATTAATTAATATTGTTTGTCTTATTCTTGACTTTTTGTGGTAGTTGACTAGTTGGTGTGTAATAGATTCATCTTCAAGATGCATGCTTCACACACACACACACACACACTATTCTCTTATTGCATATTTTATGGCTCAACTCATATGTATGTATATATATATATATATAGGTGGTCTTTAATAGCCAGCAATTTACCAGGGAGGACAGATAACGAAATAAAAAACTACTGGAACTCCCATCTCAGCCGTCGAACGTACTTGTTCAGATCGACGGCCGTCGTTGATTCCAAGTTCATCAAGACTCATCCCACCAAACGCAAGAAGATTGTTACTAATAATAATAATAATAATAATAACGAAGTTCCCGCCAAAAAGAAGAAAATAACTTCTCCTCCTCCTGTTTCGGATGAGAGAGAAAGTAACACCTTGCATGAAGATTCTTCTCTCTCTACATGCAGCAGTATTAATACTGCAGATGAATTTATGCTTGATGAAGAGATGATGGTGTGGGATGAACACACATTGATGCAGTTTCACAACTTCCTGCAAGATCACGACAACGGTGGTGGTGGTGGTGGTGGTGGTGACGTGGCTAGTTCATGTCTTACTCCGACGAACGATGAGAGAGAAAAGGTAATAGTAAATAATAATAATATTAGCGACGAAAAATTAGTAAAGTTCGAATCGGAAGAAGAAGCCGAGACGACGAAGACCACCACCATGCAAATGCAATATTCGTGTCCATCGCCAATTGTTATCTACTTTGACGACGATGAGCAATTCCGGTGGGATTTTGATGGTGGTTTCGGCGGTGACGAGGTTAATTATCCGTGGAGCGAAACCAAAGAGGAAGAGACGATGTTTAATATTTGGTCGTAATAACAAAGCCCGATTAGGGTTTTTTTTTTCTTTTTCTTTCGAAATTATGTTTTTGTTGTGTTAGATTCTTTGTTTCGAGATTGATGCTTCGGATGTGTGCTCAAAGCTCAAAAATGGTGTAATTAAGTCAATAAAAACATGCTTGAGCCTGTAAAAATATGATGTGCGTAGCATAGAAATAACCTAAATTTATATAAGTACTGATAAGGGTTGCAAGTCAGATGGATCGGAACGGAAACTGGCTTTTCGGATTTTTTTTTTTCGTAACTCAAATAACACTGCCAATTCCAAAATTGGATCGGAAATTGAAATTTCCAAATAATTATATACAAGTCCAGTTCCAAT